CCCATCCCCTGCCCCCACGTCACTACCCCCCTCACCTGCGGCCCCCAGTCAGCTCCAGCAGAGCGTCCTGGATGGCGTCGCCATCGCCGCGCTGGTCCAGCTGCAGCACATGTGCGAAAGGCAGGGGTGGTCGGCGGGCAGGCGGGGGCTCGAGGGGACGCCCGAGGGCGGCGACGCGGGCGGCGCACGCGCGCAGCGGGTGGCTCCACACGCTCCCTCAAACAAGCCATGAACCACCACCGCTGCCCGTGCAAGCAGCGGTCGCACAACTGCGCGTTTTCTGAGGTCATGCTTTCCCAACTGCTTGCTGCCGTGGAACCGGTGGTGCCAGGCCCCATCCCGCCCCCAACCACTCAAACGTGTCAGGCCCTGACCTCGACGACACTGAAGTTCTGCGTGAACTGGCTCAGGGCGCGCTTCGCCTGTGGATACACGGGGGAGGGGGGCCGCAGAGCCGGCGGCGTGTTGGCTGCGACGCCTGAGGCCGGGCGCTGGGGCCGGCGCCCGCCGGTGATGCATAAATGAAGCGAGCACGCAGCTGCTAGCAGCAGGCGTGCCCCCTTGCGGTTGATCCGCCGCCTCTCCGGCGTGCCCGCTGCTGTGTCGGTGCTGCGCTGGCCGCCGCACCCTCCATCCCAACCCCGGAGCCGCCGCCACTGTGGAGGCGCCTTGCCTTGACACAGTATGGCTGCGACAAGGTGGGAGGGGTGGAGGGCAGGGTTTAGAGCATGTCGCCATGAACTGCATCAAGGGTGGCCTTTAAAGGTGAGACTGGCCCCATAATCCTCTAGGTCATTGCGGCAGGTTGAGCCCAAAAAGGCTCGCTAGGCACTGCTGCTGCTGCTGTGCAGCCCAGCAGCTGCAGTGCACAGAGAGTGGCAGGTACCAATGCAGATCGTGGCGCCGCCCCCCCCCTTGAGAGCCTCACGCAGTAAGTCTTGGAGAACACGACCACCTGCATGGGAGGGGGGGGGGGCAGCCGGTTGCAGTTCAAGGGGGTAATCAACGGGGGCCTTCCCAGGTGCGACCTCAGCCGCTGCGCAGGAGCATGCAGTCTGCCAGGACGCATTGCCCGTGCCGTCCGATCGGCAGCTGCATGGTGCTGAAGGGAGCTGCCATGGATTGTGCCATCCATACTCCTGGCATGCAAAGCTCAGCATGACGGTGGTGCCGCCTAGCGTGTGGGCGGCAGCCGCAGGCCGTTGGCGAAAGCGACTGCGGGGCCAGCACAGCTTCCAGCGCCGATTGGCTCGTAAGACCCGACCACAGCGACTTCAGCACACCTTCTCCGCCTTGATCGTTGATGCCACGAACGCCGAAGCCATCTTTACTGCTGCGGGGTCTGCTGCTCCTCGGAAAATGTTGCGTAGCGCGGTGAACATCGGAGGCGAATGAAGCTTTGCAAGACTGACAGCTTCGATCTCATCTGCACCCCGGGGCCCACATCACATGAGGCACCAGCGAGTTGGTGACGACGTGCCGGACAGGTGACGAAGGCGCGCATCGCCGGCGGAGCCTCAGGAGGGATCGGGCCTCTGCAGGTGCGCATGGTTTATGGTTATCGTGGTCGAGCCGATGAGGGGCTCGTTGCATCCGGTGATAGATGGTGTTGTGCACCTAGCCGGCCCAAGACATGGTCGCTGCTCGCTGCGCGCTCCACCCTGACGTGTATGTGTTTACGCCTGTGCACGAGCCAGCAGCTGCGCAGCGACACATGCGCGCCACCGGGTAGCCTGATGGTTATAATTGCCTGCGGTGACATGAGAAGCAACCCCTTTCCTCGCTCGCGGCCGCAGGCACCTCTCTCTGTGTGTCGTCCATAGCTGACCAACTCCCCTGCGGGCAGCCCCTTCACCCAGACCTGCGTCCACGCCCGCCCCTTCACCCCGACCCCGCTTTGCCTTGCAGGCCAGCTGAGCATACTCTTCAAGACTAGTGTGACCCGTGCACCACCCAACATGGTGTTTTTCATCGCGGCCCTCTCCCCAAAAGTTGTCAACAGGGATCTCTCTGGGACGATGGAGTGCCCCGCCTGCGGCGGTGCGGGCGCCATGCAAGAGCGCCGCGTCGACCACATGCTTTCGCTGTTCTTTGTGCCTCTCATCACGGTGCACAGGGGGCAGCCGTTCACGGCCTGCGGCCGCTGTGGCTGGAGCTCTCTGAAGGAGGGCCGGGCTGCTGCAGGTGCTGGTGGCAGCGACCGGCAGGGCGGCCGCGCCGTCAGCGGGCGCGGCGCGTGGCCGGCCCGCGTGTGCGCGGTGTGCGGCGGCCAGGTTGGAGATGCAGGCTGGACGTTTTGCCCGTTTTGCGGATCAATGCTGTGATGCGCGTGTGCCTCATCGGCTTGCTGGCTCAGTTGATATTGATTGGTAATGCTGCCTGACGCTAGCGCCACACTCGTGCTGGATCCCCAACATGCATCAACAAATGTGAATATTTCGTTATTTTTTTGGCTCAATCACAATGGCATGTAGTTGAGCGTCTGCTTGACACTGCAATGCTGACGAAGGGAGTATGGTTCCTGCCGTCTTCGGGTGGGTGGCGGCATCAATTGCAGCTACGTTGGGCCCAAACACCTCCGAATGTGCGCGCCTGGCATCACATGTGTCTCAACATGCCTCACCCTGAGATTGAAATCCTGAGCTTTTGCTGCCGCCCGGCTGCCGGTCAAGGACAGCCGTCAAGTGGGTTTGCTTGGTTGCCATGTCAACACACGTTGTGGCCGGCCACTATCCACAACTTGACCAAACCCACTGCTCTTGGATCACTGTAGGCATTCTACACATTGAAACAGCCGTTGAACATGAAGACACAAGCTGATCACATCAAGGCAGTTGGCGGGAGGCTGGCTGGCTGGCTGGCCGTGACCGGCTTCACCACACCAGGGTGCCCACGCCTCAAAGGATGTCACCAGCAAGGCCAGCGCCACAGCTGCCCCCTAATTGCATGCCTGCGCAGTTGGCAAGCCTTCCTCTCGTCGTGCACATACACTTCACCCCGTGCTCCTGGCGTCGAGGCAGACACTGCCCACCTGTTCGGTCCCCGCGCCAGCCTTGCGGCACCTACCGTCTCAACCCTGATCTCATAGTACAGGAAACATCCAGGGCTTCGACACGCAGAGCAACGCGGAGGTTCGCAACTACGATGTCGTTCCTGCAGCAGTCACGCACCGGTGCGCCAATTGCTGGCGGGTGGTGTTCTTGAAGAAGGTTGTTGTCCTGAAATTACATGGCCTTGAGGGTAGCTCGCACAGCCAGGCCGCTTGCCGGCGTCAGCTCCTGTGGACAAAGCAGGCGGTGGTGCTGTAGCCTGGGCACTGCCTGACGCCACCCCGGGCGTGCTCACCCCCGATCGACCGCAGGCGTTGCCCTGACGCGTACGGCTCAGCCCGCTGCTCCTCGTCACCAGCGTGGCGCTTGCCAGATGCAGAGGCGGACCGCGGCGCTCTTTCCAGGCAGCGAAGGCGCGCCCGACATCAGCAGCATCAATGTCGCGGTTGCGGAGCCGCCACCGGTGCAGCCGCCGCCCGAGCCGCTGGCTATCATGCATTCTGGTGCCTTCATGCGGCAGCGGCGCGGCATGCCGGTGGGTGGATGGTAGTTAATGGATCGAACTGGAATCGGCAAGCTGGGGACAGCTGTGGAAACTGCCTGTCGGGGCTGCTTTACCTGCGATGCAGTTTTGGTTATCCAAACAAGTCAAGACTTGTTAGAGCCGCCTGTCGTGCACGGGGCACGGTCTTGTTTGATGTAGTGGTGGAGGCCGCAGCAGTGGCCGCAGTAGGGCAGGGGGTGGCAGGATCACACCAGGCAACTGGCCAACACTCCTGTCTGCGGTATCGTTTCCGGCCAACTCAAAGCCGCTGCAGCCACCTGGCCACTCGGCTGCTATCGCTCACACATCCACACCTGTTTCGCAACCACCGACAGATCGTTTCCATCTCAGCCACTATGGACGAGGAAATTCAACTGAGGCAGCAGCAGCAGCGCGCCGCCAACGCCGCCCGGTTACCGACAGCGGACAATGCGCTGATGTGGGCCCTGGAGAAGGTGGACAGGCAGCTAGATCAGATCGAGCAGGACCCGCCGGCGCTGCTCAAGGCATCGTATGACGTGGCCAACGGTCCCGTGGGCTCGGCGACCAGCAAGGGCGTGCAGGCGGCCGCCAAGGTGACGCTCGCGGCCACCACGCAGGCGGTCAAGGCGGCGGCGCCGATCGGGTCGTGGGCGCTGCGCGAGGGGTTCAAGGTGGCGAGCAAGGCGGCGGTGGGGCTGGTCTCCATGGCGATGGAGCAGCAGCAGCAGGCAGAGCAGCGGGATTCCAAGAAGCGCAGCCAGCGCAAGCGCTGAGCTTTGCGGGCGCAGTACGCTTGGCATCTCTTTTACTGTGGTCGCTAACGGGCAGATGAGGGTGATGCGCAGCCACCGTGGTGGCGCTCATAACACTAGGTGAGAGAGAGAACAAAATACCCGCAGCAGGGGCAGGACTCATTGCTCCAAGGGTTGTGCTCCTTTGGGTCACGGCGCAATCGTGGAAGGTACCGCAAGTTTTATCAGCAGAGGCACGCAACCGCCGCAACCATGTCCCTTGCCGAAGCGAGGAGCTGTATAAATTCACACCATCCTGGACTGTAGACCAGAAGCTGCCTGTCTTGACCTTGCCGCTCTGATGTGCGCTTTGCGTGTTGTTGTGAGTGTCGCCACCGCCTTGTGTTGCAGCGGCCCTTTGTTGAGTTGAATTTTTCCTGTGCGCATGCCCAAACAGCGCTGAGCTTCCGTGCGTCGCTTTGAGGCATGAGCAAGCGGGCCCGCCCCTGCTAGTGCTCGGGGGCCGCGGCCCTGTCGCAGAGCACAGCTGCGCTGTTGAGAGACCCACCCAAACCCACGTCACAGCGTGGCGCGAGCACCACTTCGCCGCCAGCGCACCCAGGCTTTTGAGGCCTTCGATCTGGCTGTGTACGGCTGATGCATTGACTTTGTAATCATCTGTTGCGTTCCTCTTGTGTGTGGGCTACGCAAATGGGAAAGGAGCTGGTAGTGGATGGGCTCGTGAAATTGGTCGCCTGCCGGTAGTTGTTGCTGCAAGGATGTGCAATTGTCGCCCTCTTGGGGCCCCTGTGATGGTTTAAGCCGGCTTGCTTGGTGTGTTTTTATGATGCGCTGTACAAATTTGCACAGGATGTAGCCGCTGCTATGCTGGTCAACATGAACAGAGTCGTGTGCGTGGTCTGCCGCTGCAGTGACGAGCGTACATGCCGTTACTTTGGCCAGTGCCGCGCTGTGCAATGTGCGTTCTTCCGTCTGGTGGGGCCGGCAAACATTCGCTGCGTCGTGAATCAGCTGCTGCGCACGGTAACGTTCACTGGACGCCGGTCACCGTTCTCGAGATCACACGCGCCGGCCAAAAACACTTCAGCATCACTAGTTGCAATAGGCATGTTCAGCCTGCGCCTAGGACCATTTTCCTGGGGCCTGCCCCCCAGACGGCCTCACCGGCAGCAGCGCAAGCAGCAGCGAGCGGATGCCAGCAGCAGTGCGGCCGGGGCCCCTGGCGGCGAGAGCTATGCGCAGCGTGTCAGGGTGAGCTCTGCAAGCGCCGAGGATCAGCAATAACATGCAATTTCAAAATTTTCGTGCATGCATTGTGCATGTGAGGTTGTCTGGACGGAAAGATGTGCAAGCATTGCACCAGCAGCCCCCTGACAAGCACATGCACGCACACACGGAACAATGGGCAGGGCTGGCAGGGCCCTGCAAAAGCAGGGCTCATATCGGGGTCCCTGTCGTCCATGGGCGACCTGCTGGCGCAGCTGCTGGCGGCACAGCACGCTAAGGTGCGGCCTGGCTCTGTCCAGCGGCAGGCGTGGGGCGCCGTGCGGCAGAGCGCTGCGCCTGCGATGCAAGAGGCGGCTGCGCCTCACGCCCACATGCTGCAGGGTTGGCAACCACCTCCCTGCTTGTCAATACTCATGTCACTCTATTCTTCCCGGCACGGCTGGGGTCCCGTCCACCGCTGGCCCAGTCGAGCGGCGGCGATGCGGCTAGTTGGGACGCGCTGCGCACGCTGCGCATGTTTGGCTTTGGCTTGGCCTGGTACGGCCCCTACCAGGTGGGGGAGATTGGCTGAGGTGGCATTTGAGTTAAGGGTTGGGCGGACCGGCCGGGATGTCGAGGAGATGGCAGGGGCTGTTCGGGCGGTGTTGACCCTGCGATGTAAATACCTCAGCCAACCTGCCACCCTTGCCAAAATTGCACTCACATGCTCAACCTGTTTGAGCCCCTGCCTGCCCTTTGGTTGTTTATTCTACGCTCATGCAAGCATGTATGCAATACATACAAGTACACATACGTGGTGCACACATCATACACACACGTGCCTGCAAGCGTGGGCACACCCTCATACACACACATGCACGAACACACGTACACTTACCCAAGTGCGTGCACACCCTCACACACACATGCGCTCACACACACACACACACACACACACACACACACACAAACACGCGCACACACACAGTCACAAATACCTGCACAAGCACGCTCATCCATGCACAACCACCGCCCCCGCCAGTTCTACTGGTACAACCTGCTGGACTGGGCGATGCCCGTCAAGAACACAGCCAACTTTGTCACAAAGGTGCGGTGATGCGTTGCTGCCATAAGGGTAGGCAGGAAATGCACGCATCGTCCTTGCATCGGCTCGAACACTTTTGCTACGTGTGTGCGTGGCAGCCAACTTCCCCTTCCTTGTAGGGAGGCTCCAACGCTCACCCGAAGCCCATGCCAGCCGTGCCCGACCAGACCACCATGCAAGCGGAGCTCACACGCACGCACGTCAACACTTGAACAAATACCAGCCGCCTCCTCGCCTTGCTCACGCCCTGCTGCGGCCCACCCACCCCTGCACCCGCCCCGTTCTCCCTCCAGGTAGTCCTGAACCAGGTGGCCCTGGCCCCCGTGGTGCTGGCGGTGGTGTTCTCCTGGAACCTGGCGCTGACGGGGCAGGCGGGCGGCATACCCGAGAAGATCCAACGCGACCTCGTGCCCAGCATGGTCAACGGTGGGCGGGTGCAGCCGGTGCAACGCAGGGTGGAGTGGTGAGGGGTGGTCGAGGTGTAGGCGGGTTTGAGGCGCGTGGATGATGATCATTATGTGTCAGCGGCCGTGCCCGCACGCTTGGAGCTGGCATGGGTGCTGGTTTCGCATGCTGCCTAGACTGCGGGCGATCCCGAGGCACGGGGTTGCTTGGTTCATGGCACCTGACAACGCGCATGGCGCCGTCGCTGTGTTTCCAGGGTGGAAGTTCTGGATCCCAGCAGCCAGCATCAACTTCTGGGCCATCCCCGTGGACAAGCAGGGTGCGGTCCGCGGCCGTGTGAGCCGAGAGGGGCAAGGGGCATGGCTCGCCAGGAGCGCGTCCTGCGGTAACGGCAGCCCAGGGGCGACTTGTCAACCCACGCAGGAGAGCCTGCCAGACTAGACGCGTGAGCGCCCTGCCCGTAGCCCTCATCCCACAAGGGCGCACCCGGTCATTGCGCTCCTACGCCCTACCCCACAGTGCTGTACATGTCGTGCTGCGGCGTGCTGTGGACCGCCTACCTGTCATACGCGTCCGCAAACGTCGTCGGCCGCCAGCGCCAGGACGCGCGGCAACAAGCCCTGCCCGCACCCGCGCCGGAGCCCGAGCCGCAGCCTGCGCGCAAGGCAGGCGCAAAGAAGCGGGAGCGGCGCGGCTGATTCGGCCGCGCCGAGCACATTATTCTTGTGCTGCAAGGGTTTTGAGAGGCTTTGACACTGTTGAGCTGAGCTGCTCTGTAAGCACAGGACTGCCGGTTTTCATGGGCAGTGGCGTGGGGATGCCGCGTAAAGCAGAGCTGAGGGGGGATTTGGCCATGCAACGGCCAGAAGCAGTAGACACCCCAGACTCCCGACACCCCAGGGCCTGCTTCTCTGCCTCATCACCCTACCCTTTCGTGTTCCTGGGCTATGAGGCGGGAATCACCCACAGCATTTGCAGACCGGCTCGCGGCCCCCACCAGCACCTGAGCGTGTGCAAGGACTGACGCGCTGTGCTGTTGCCATCCCCAGCGGCTGCTGATCATCATCATCATCATCATGCCACGATTGAAAATGCACCCAGAATTTCACAGGGTCGATATGCATCAAGTTACACTAAAATGACCGCGTGGAAGGCGCCACTGATGGAACGGGCCCAGCAGTGCACACCCCAGTGGCCACTCAGCTGTGAACTGCATGCTAAATGCAGCAGAGCGGACATCCGCTGTGCTGCACAGGCAGTCATGCCGGCAGTCTCACATCGCATGCGGCAGTGCTCGTGCTCCCGCCTGCAGCTTGTCATGTATTGTACAGCGCTGAATGTTGAGGAGGCCAAGTGTGGAGGTTGGCGTCACTCGAGGTGCCTCGGAAAAGCAGCCCCTCACGCAAGTCCAGCAGGACCGCAAGATCCCTGGGGGGCAGCATGGCTGTGCTCGTGACACGGCTGTCATGCGGCGCTGACGGGCGCGCCTACGGCGGCCGAGAATGCCGCGCCGATGCCGTACGTAAGCCCCATCGCCAGCCAGCCACCAATCAGCACGCGCAGCGAGCCCCTCCATACGCGCGCGCCGCCGAGCGCCGCGCCAGTGCCTCCAAACAACAGCAGCCCCGCCGTCGTCGCGAGCAGCACGGCGACGAGCCGCAGGACGTTGCTACGCACAAATGCGCCCGCCAGCAGCGGGATCGCAGCGCCAAACACAAACGAGACCGCGCCCGCCAGGCTGGCCTGCAGCGGGTTTGCGAGATCGTCGATGTCGATCCCGAGCTCGTCGCGCGCGTGGGCGCGGATGACGTCTTTCTCTGTCAGCTCCACGGCCACCTGGCGCGCCAGGGGGGCGGACAGGCCGCGCTGCACACATGCGGGGGTGCCGGCGAGGGGCGAGAGGAAAACGTCACGCTGGGACACAGCTGGTGAGGATCGAGAGCTCTGCGCTACTGAGATCCGCTTGGCTTCTCTCTTAGGGTGGCGCTAGGGCCAAGCAGCCCGGCGTCTCACATACCAACAGTCGTCGTCAGCAACACATCACAGCGGCTGTTCTTACCGAGCGGTAAATGGCGGTGAGCTCCTCCAGCTCAGTCTGCTGAGCACGCTCGCCCTTGGCCTGCGCATGCGGAAACAGGGTAACAGGGAGCAGCGCTTCTGTGAGCGGTCACGCCAGCGCATGTGCACTTGACGAACCTGCATGCAACCCAGCATGCGCCAAAACAAGAATGCCCACCGCGCCCTGCGTGCAGACCAATCACCTGCTCGGCGCGCTCCTTCTCAATGTCAGCCTGCGGAAAACCACATGCGCGGGGTTTGGAGTGAGCTGCAGACTCAGTCATGGGTAGAGCCGCAGGGAAAAACAGCAGCGCATGGGCCTGCACAGCGCAGCATCAGGCATCACAGGTGGGTTGTTGTAGGGTCTCACCTCCTCCGCGTCCTTCTGGCTGCTGACACTGATGTACTCGCCGCATGCCATGCTCAGGGCGCCGCCAACCAGGCCCGCCACGCCGGCCAGCTGCATGACCCGCAGATCTGCGATCAAGCAGCGCGTGCATGACAACAATCAGCAAAGGAGTGACACAGCAGAACACAGGCTGACCAGAGAGGACACATATACACACACACACACACACACACGCCAGGACAAGGTAGAGCCGCAGCGCACGCGCACCTGCGTCGGCGCCCCCGACGCCCATCATCAGTGCGGCCACTGACACCAAGCCGTCGTTGGCGCCCAGGACCATGGCGCGCAGCCACGGCGCGCGGTGGCTGAAGTGGGCGTGTCCGCAAGGGTCATGGTCGCTCTCGCTCTGCAGGCACAGCAGGTGAGCACAGGCGAGACTGAGGACAGCGGAAGGAGGCTACATGCTTTGCTGCCATCACTCGAGCATTCGGTGCTGCCTGTGCCCGTGCCACCGCCTGCCCAGCCCTGCGTGTGACCAGCATCAGTGCTGGACAATGCCTACTGCTAGTGCCAGCAGCTGCAGGCCTTCACATCGCTGCCGTCGGGAGTTCGCCACACAACGAAGCGATGCTTCGGCGGCGCCACACACACAGTGCAGGTGGGCCTCAGGGCGGGCCGGTGGCCGTACCGAAACTAAAAAACACAGCGCGTGCTTCCGAGACAAGAGAGGAGTTCGGGCGGGCTCGCGCTCGCACCTGGTGATCATCGTGAGTGTCGCGCTCGGCCTGCTCGGCGGGCCTCTCCACATCCGTCGCACTGAAAGCCATATTAGTGTTCGGTGCCATGCGTTTGGTGGGGTGAACAGCGCTGCTGATGTCTTGCGAGCTTGGATCAGCCAGGGGTCTCAAGCGATGCTGTCGACGCTCTGCTGATGCTGACTCCGGGTAGATATGCTCTCCATAAGACCTCACAATCGTGCAGGGCGCCTTCAGGCCGCCCGCGAGTCCCACGCGGCATCTTGCTAAATGTCATCGCGAGCGCCGCGCTTTGCAGTTCCCCAGGATAAGCTGGAAAGCATTTATCAGTGCCTCAGTAGGGGGCGACAGGGGCAAACAAACAGGGGCTTGCGAGATTGGCCATGGGCGGCGTACGCCAAGCACACGCCGCGAGCCCTTGGAGCCCCCGAAGGCTCCGGAGTGCACACACATGGAGCAGAAGCTGCTTGCAACCAAGAATAGCCTGGTAGAGCCACAAAGGCCTGGCAGTGGCTAGCAATATGCCTTCGGCGATTTGTTGACCAAGCAGTGTTGACCAGCATGCAGTTCGACCCGACACTACTGCACTTGGGAGTGGAGCGGAAGGAAGGAATGTAGGTAAACTGCGTCGCAGCATGCATACATTCACGGGGGCAATTACCGTGGGGCGCCTAGAGTGGAATGCCTGTGTGCCCCATGACCTGCATGGCAGTGCTTTGTGCCACACCCACCGGGTCATCACTGCGCACCGCACACTGGAGGGCCCTGGGCGGAAGCTTCAGCGGCAGGGCGCGTACGGGCGGCACGGACGCGGCAGTGGCGGCAGCCTGACCTCCATGGTGTTACACGCACGACCACGCGGGTGCCGCCTTTGTCTGCTCAGACCCATAGGCGCAAGGCGTGCGCGAGGCGGCATCGCAAGGGTCGACGCAAGGGCGTCACCTGAGGGCCCCGTTGGCGCTCAAGGGGGGGGGACCGAGTCCCGCGCACCGGTGTGGCATCGAGGAAACGGGCGGATGTTGTGACCGTCGCGCCCGTCCTTAACATACACTGGGCACCCAGCGCCCGTTCTCCTCTCCTCTCCTCTCCTCTACTCGACGTATACACGACTACCTGTGAATCTGTGTGGCTTTCGACAACGTCGTGCAATTGACACAGAATGTCTTCCAGTGTGCGCATGTCATCTGGACATTCGTTGCGCCTTTGCTTTCGGGCCACCGCGACCCGTGTGCCATGTCTGCACCTGCCAGGTAGGACTTGAGCAAGAGCAGTGCATGACTGCCCCTGTGCCCCAGGCTTGCTGCAGGTGCACACAATCTGCCGGCCCCTACAACCGATGCTGCACTTCAGGCCTGTGAATCTTCGATCCTCAGTGCATGTGCAAAGCATGAATTGCATGGCGTCATAGTTGGTGGCGGATCCACCATGATTGCTTTCTTTGTGACTGCAAAGGCCTTGGCTGAAATGCGCAGTACTATAGCTGCCCCGGCCCACACCAGTTGCGTCCCTTCCCCCACCGCACACACTTCAGAGCACACACCGGACTGCTGGCGCTTGCGCGTACAGGGTCAATACCCCTGCTGCCGGCGCACCAGCCGGCGCAGCGCTCTCGTTGCCGCTGCAACCCAGAAAGGGCCCGGTAAATTATGCATACAGCGGGGCGTGGCGCGGGATATGAGAGATGCGCGTTCCCATGAGCAGCGTTCTGTACGTGCCAAATCCATTTCATTGCATTGCCTTCCAGGCAGTTACTTCGCGTGTCAGGGCTCTCCAAATGTGTTTGCCTGTATTGAGCTGTCTCACAAGTGGTGATGGGGTCGAAGCCGAATGCTGCCACATTATAGGGGCTTTGCCTCGGCCAGCGAGGTCACCGGCCCGCGCCCCACCAGCCACCTCACCAGGGGGTGGCCGCAGGTGTCACAGCTCTGTGTGTCGAGGGAGGTCAGAAGTTCCTCGGTGCGTGCAGTCCTTGCTTGAAGCTCGACGTACCTCGCTCATACGACCCTGTCGGACCGCACGCTCGTCAAGGCGCAGACTAGAGATCGATTGTGGCTCATCGACCGGTGACTGGCACATAAGCGGAGTAAATCGCGCCAATGGCCCGCTCCTGCGTGGCCAGGGCCTGCACGCTGCTCCTCTTGGCGCTCGTGACCGACCACCGCAGCGCGCTGGCGCGACCTCTTCAGCAGCGGCGCCACCTGCAGGCTGTGTTGACAGGCACAGAGAAATCGGACATCCTTAAGGTAAGCCGTACAGCTGCCAACGGAAAAGCGAGGGCGCATGAAGGCCAGAGCACAGGCCCCAAACGGCGCACAGCTGCAGCGAGTGTGTCATTCCCAGGGCGGGAACGTCCATGAAGTGCCCTCGAGATGCGCCAACCGGCATGCACGCACAAACGGCAGGGCACAAGCGATAAAGACACCATCAATGGCCTAGGAGGTGAGAAAATTGCGGCCGCGGCTGCGATGAGACTTGGGCCGTGCCGCTGCCATCGAACAGGCACAAAACGCAGGCATCGTGGCTCTCACCCTGCCACGTCCCCCAAACCTCACCCTTCCTGCCGTTTGCGCCGCCGCTAAACTGTCGCAGGAAACGACCAGGTGAGGCAGCACCAGCTTGCAAACTAGCGCGTGCTGGGTGGATGCCTGCACTGCAGACAGCTGTTTTGCGCGTGCGGCACATGCACAACAGCAAATCATCCGTTGCTTTGCCAGCCTGAACCTGCGCTCCCCCCCCCATATGGCCCATGCCCCTGTGCTGTTTGCCCCTCAGCTGTATGGAAGAGCGGGAGACGACCTGGTAAGCTGTTGCTCTCGACTCGACGGTGCCTCACAGCGGCATGCACAGCAGGCGCGATGAACAGCACCTCGCTGTATGTGGGCGCAGCCGCAGCTGGGGCCCCTGCTCGCGCGCCCCAAGCTGGAGCAAATGCCTGTTCCTGATTGGTCATGCATCTCTTTTGCGCCCCCTTGCGCCATCAGGAGGATGGCGGTGCTGGAGACGACCTGGCAAGCGCTCAGGCGCCGGCCTTGCTTGTGTCGTCGAGCTAGCGGCCGACTGCGCTTGTGCCGTGCATCGCGCCCTGAGCCGCCATGCCACTCACATGCGTGGAACGTAGGGTCAGTGCACCCAGCCATGCTCGCTTGAGGCCTTATCCATTATCTCCCTTGCTGCGTTACCTGACCTGGTTTCGCACCCCCATATGCACAGGTGGATGGCGAGCAGGGGAACGACGTGCTGATTGGTGGCGCAGGCAAGTGACGGGCACGCGCTGCCGCACACGCAGACAGCTGTTGCATATCCAGCCCGTGCGCTGCCATCCCAGGCACCGATTATCAGATGCTTGCTTGCTTTTAAGGTGACGTGCTGTTGCGTAGGTCAAGATCCACCCTTTCGGTCTGCACCACCAGCACCACAGTTTCATGCACCAATCCGTCACCCGCAGGCAATGACAAGCTGTACGGGAAGGAAGGCAAGGAGTGAGTGCGCAGGCTTGGATTCAAACATGGGAGTGAACCAGCTTGATAGGCCGGGGATGGGCGCCGTCATTCTCTTGGCTGGCGATTAACCCTGCAAACATGGCTATGCCCGCTTCCCCCCTTCCTGCACGTGCAGCGATCTGCGCGGTGGATTGGGGAATGACGGTGAGTGCAGCCAGCACCAGGCACGGTGGTCCCCTCCCAAGGGCGCAACGCTCTGAACCAGTGGGCTGCGCCTGGCTTTTCGTGAGCCTGGGCCATGATCCACCATGCACGTGCGCTTACCCCCCTGGGCTTGCCAAGCGAGTGTGCATACATGGCCGCAGCCATCCCTTTCCCCGGCAATCACATGTGCACCAAGAAACCCACACGCCCACCCTGCAGAGGCTGACGGCGGCCCGGATGATGACACCATCAGCGGCGATGAAGGTCAGGGTCGTGGGGTTCAGGCGCCAGGTTGCAGGGGGAAGGATATTTTGAGGGCGCTTCAGGGCGACAGTAGCAACAGTAGCAGCAACAGCAGCAGCGGCGGCAGCAACAGCAGCAGCAGCGGCAGCAGCAGCAACAGAAAGCAGCCGCAGCAGCCGTGCACGGGTGGGCTGACTGGCAAGGACGCTGGAGATCCTCACGGCGGCATCGTGCTCAGGGAACTCGCAGGGCACAATTGTGTTCTTACCATGACCCCCTAATGTGGCATGGCTCACCCGCTCAAACCCTTAACGCACAGGCAATGATATCTTGCACGGCGGACTGGGCGCTGAGTGAGTGGAGCTGTGCCCCTGCGTTTTGCCAGCGAGCTTTCCGCGCCGCAATGCTGGTGCTTTGTGGGTGCAAGCTTCGCATGCGACCAAAACGCTCCGCCCGGCGCCTCAACCTTGCAACGGGGCCCTGAAACCAAGTTGCCCTGTGATGCGGCTGCACACTGCTCATAGACGCACGCATTGCACCACGTACCCCTCCCCTCACCTCCGCGGCTCTGCCTTAGTATCCTCCACCACTCTTGCCACTCGCTCATGCAGCACCCTGTCTGGCGGTGCCGGAGACGACTTGGTGGGTGCAGCTGCCGCGCATCCATGTGATGCAAGGGTGTTTCACACCACCGTGGCGCTGTTTGGGAGCCACCTCAAGCTGCACCGACCCTATCCCGCCGTGTGTTGCGGCAGTTGGCTCTCCTCTGACGCCACTCCGCGCTGCCTCCGCGTGCCACCAACCGCAGTTGGATGGTGATGCAGGAGCAGACACGATGGCGGGTGCGTGAGCACACATATGGAGGCCATTTCAATGGGTTCTCAAACAAGAATCTCATCGTGTGTTGTCCCTTGTTGGTTCCATTGCTCCTGAGGGCTGATTGCTTGCATGCATGTGGCGGTGCTTCAGTGGCACGACGGCAAGTAGCGGCGCACGTGCCTCCCCGCATACACGTACCTGCCAGCACACACACACACACACACACACACACACACACACATGCAGGTGCACACGCACACACATGCAGGTGCACACATTCAAAACCACAAGACACACCCAACAACCACACGCTACACAGTCAACAAAAAAATTCAGACGCCTGCCCTCTCCTTGCATCTCATGCACACACCTTGCGCGCACATGCACGCACAGCACACACGCACGCGCACACACACACAAACACGCCCCCCCACGCGCAACCCCCAGGCGGTGACGGCAATGACAGGTACGTGGTCGACAATGTCGGTGACGTCGTCGTGGAGGCAGCCGGCGCGGGCACTGACGAGGTCGCGCTGGTGGCGGCCGCGACCTACACGCTCCCCGACAACGTGGAAGGCCTGCTGGGCTCCGCTGGGGCAGACGTCCTGACCGGCAACGCGAGTGAGCTGGCGTGTGGCCCACTCAAATTCTCTCTCGTCCTGTGTTGGGGCGTGGTCCTTGGACAAGCATGCGCCCTTGTTGGCAACAGTGCGGCCGCTTGCATTTACCAGGAAGGGCAGGCAGTGCCTGGCAAGGGCGTGGTGCCTGGCACAGCTGCTGGCCGCCCACGATGTGGCTGGCGGGCACTGGGCCTGCGTGCCTGCCCCGAGTTTATCCAGATCCTCTTGAGCTTGTCTTTGGAGATGCGCCAGTTCCATTATCCCCATCCATTTGCCAACTGTCCTCAGTCAACAACAAGATCAATGGGAGGGCAGGGGACGACACGATTTCTGGTGGGTTCGCCAAGCTTCAGGGCGTGTTTGGGAGGGTGCGCCCTGCTGCTTCTTGCATCACGTGGTGCAGAATCTGCTGCAGCAGCTTCTGGGGCCGCAGGTCGTGCTGCGCCACGCGCCGTGGCCACACTGAACTGTTAACGCCTGTTGCTCCAAGCGCCACACCCCCCCCTCCCCCGCTGGGACCCCTGCCTCCCAGGCGCTGGCGGCAACGACTGGCTGCTGGGCGGCCTCGGGAATGACATCCTCAACGGGGTGGGCTGCTGGCTGAGGGTGGTGGCGTGCTGCGAGGCTGCTCAGATGGCGATAAGGGGCTCTCGCTGCCAGAAGCCGCAGCTCACGCATACGACAAAGCGAGCGTTTAGGGGGTTGCAGTACACTGCCTTGTGCTTGCACTCATGTTTGCATCCCGTCCAGCCGCCTGACGCCCTGCCCCATATGCCTACTATTTGCAGGGCGACGGCGACGATGCAGCAGAGGGCAATGGTGGCTCTGATACGATAAGCCTTGTGAGCCTGCCCTGACGAACCCCGCCGTGGAGGGCACCCGTCGCAGCAGCAGCCGGGCGCCCGAGCGTGCTTCTCTGCGATTGTGCGAGCGGTTGCTGTCTGTTGTAATTGGCGCAGTGGTCTGTACTTGCGCCCGCTCACACTCCGCCTACCAACATGCCTGCAATAGGTACATTGTTCTCGTATGCCGTTTGTTGCCCTTGTGCAGCGAGACCTAACGCCATGCTTCCCTGCCCCTTGGCTCTTGACAATCAATCAATCACCCCGACACAAACGCAGGGCCCTGGCAACGACGTGTTCATGTACCGCCGCCGCGACGGCCAGGACGCGTCCATCGACGGCGGGGAGGGCTCGGGGGTGAGCCCGCGGGGGGCCGGAGGGGGGAGGGCTGGGGGCGGTGACGTTCCACGGGCGCTGCGGGTCCTCAGCGCAGCTCAGGCCACACGGACGACTGAGGCTGGGGAAGTCGGTGGACCTGGAATGGGTGTCTCTCATTGTAGGAGCAGACGATGCCTCCTGTGAGGCTACGCAGCGGGGCCGGCCGGCTGAAAAGCTGATATGGTCATGCGCATGCGCTCCCCCTACCTTCAAAACCTCCTGCTCCTTGTCCCTCCCCACCAAGCACCCGCTGGTGAGGAGTTCCTTGCCCCTTTTCATCCACGACCCCAACTGTCAACTTCCCGACTCCCAACTCCCTAGGACACCCTCTGCCTGGAGGGCAAGCCCAGCACCTACACAGTCTGGATCAACGGCGCCAAGAACCCCGACCGCAACCGCGCGGTGGTGCCGATCGCCGGCTCCAAGGTAGACGTGTTTGTGGGCGGCCGCGTGCCGCGGGCGAATAAGGCCAAGGGCATCGCGACAACTGACCCGGCGACAGGGTACATGAAGATCATTGGTTTTGAGTTCATCCGCTTTGTGGTGGGTGCCAGTGTGTGTGTGTGTGTGTGTATGTGTGTCTGTGCGCGCGCATGCACACATGCGCGTGCGTGCACGCGTATGTGTGAGTGAGTGTGAGTGTGTACGCTTGCGTATGCGTGCGCGCACGTGTGTGTGTGTGTGTGTGTGTGTGTGTGTGTCTGTGCACGCGCATGTGTGTGTGTTCCCTAATTCTGCTCCATTGTGGGACGGGAAACCAGGGGATGCGAGACACTGGCAGCGGAGCTCTGGTGTGCTAGGCATGTGTGAGCATGAGTGCAAACAGAACAGAGATGGCTGGCTGCCAGGTCATGCCAGCAGTGGACGCACCCGGAGGGATGTCTGTATCC